CTGGTCGGGCACCCGTGGTGATGTCAGCCCTCTGTTAAGCTGGGGTGGAAGTGGGGGAGCCCAGATGCTGGTGCTCTGACTCCTGTCTCCTTGCTGCTTAGCTTGCCCAGCTGTGACCAGAGAGGGGCAGAGACGGTGCCAGGGGGACTGAGGAGGTTCAGAGGGTGGAAGGACAATTAGCAGCCTGGGGAGGGAGCGGTCTGGGGAGTCTCTTTAGAAGAAAATGTGCTTGGGGGGTCTCCCAAGACCAGGTGGGGACCAGACTGCAAGGGGTGGGAGCACCGGGGAGGGCCAGGCTGGATCAGACAGAGGCGGCGCTGGGAGCCACAGGGTGCAGCGGTGGGCATCTTTGCCACGCCCACCCAGCCCTGAGGGCGTGGTCAGGCAGCCACTGCCCCGCCCCTGAGCCTCCCCAGAAAGTACAACTGAAAGAGGGAGGCTGGGGAGCGGTTCCGAGGCACGCCACTGGCCTGGCGAGCGCGAGGCACTGGGTTCCATCCTTCCATCCAGCAAAAGGGGGAAAAAAAAATGAAAAGGGTCTCTCTCTCCCCTGGGTTGAGAAGCACCCATCGCACCGTGCCCTGCACCCCGACTCCTGTGCCATGCGGCCTCGCAGCCTTATCTCACTTCCCTGTGAGTGGGGTGAGGACAATGGTCCCCTCCTACAGGACGGTTCCCACCGTCTGGCCGGACTGAGGGGAACCCAGGGCTGCTCCACATCAGACACCAGACAGCGCCCCATGAGCTCCCGCCCTAGGCCAGGGGTGTGGGGTAGGGAGGAAGGAAGGACAGAGAGACTCCTGGGCAGGCGGGACGGTGCACAGGGCCTGGCCTGGTGCCAGGGACACTGAGGAGGCCGGGAAGACCTGAGGAGGGCAGCTGCCTGGGTTTCCCAGAAGGTTCTAGAAGAACCAGAGTAACTTCAGGCCCAGGTCCCCTCAGTCCCTCTCCTTCCTTTCCTCTCCTGGGATCCTTCTTCCCGCGCCAGCAAGGCCACAACACCCCACTCAAAGCTCCCCAGGACACAGTAGTCCCCCAGCCCGGCCCTGGCGGAACCACAGCACTGTCAGAAGCATTCTCTTCCCTGTCCCCCGGGCGGTGTAGATAGGCAGGGATTTTCCTTGCCCTTTGTCACCATAAAGGAACAAGCCCTTTTTATTTTGAGGGTCTCACTAAGTTGCTTAGGGTCTCATTGAATCGAGGGGTGGTTGGCCACTGAACTACATCCCCAGCCCTTTTTTTTTTTTTTTTTAAGAGAGAGAGATATTTTTTATTTTAAGAGAGAGAGAGAGAGAGAGGGAGAGAGAGAGAGAGAGAGAGAATTTTTAATATTTATTTTTCATTTTTCGGCGGACACAACATCTTTGTTTGTATGTGGTGCTGAGGATCGAACCCGGGCCACACGCATGCCAGGAGAGCACGCTACCACTTGAGCCACATCCCCAGCCCCCCTAGCCCCTTTTATTTTGGGGGTCTCACTAAGTTGCTTAGGGTCTCATTAAGATGCTGAGGCTGGCCTCTGACTTGTGATCCTCCTGCTTCAGTCTCCTGAGTCACTGGGACTGTAGGCCGGCACCACGCCGACTCCTACACTTTTTGACTAATAAGGCTAAATAGTAGAGATATAGGGCGTTGGGATGCACCTCGTGGTGGGGTGGATGGTGTGCAAGGCCCCGTGGAGGGGGAAAACAGTGGTATGTGGCATGATGGGCAGTTATTTGCCAAGAACTTTCCCTTCGGCAGCACTTTGGTGGCTTCCTGGGTAGCCCTAAGACCCCATGCCAAGGCTGGGGTGTAATCAGTGGTAGAGCCCTTGCCTAGAATGTGACAGACCTGGGTTACATCAGGAACAAAAAAATTAAAAAATTACCCTATATGATTACATGACTGGTGTACTCTATATTATGTACAACCAGAAGAATGAGAAGTTATACTCCATTTATGTTTGATGTGTCAAAATGCATTCAACTGTCATGTATAACTAATCAAAACAAATAAAAAATAAAAAAATATAAAAGAGCCAGGCACAGTGGTGTGTGTCTGTCATCCCAGCAGCAACTCAGGAGGCTGAGGCAGGAAGATCGCAAGTTAGAGGCCAGCCTCAGCAACTTAGTGTGATCTTGTCTCAAAATAAAAAATAAAAAGGGCTGGGGATGTGGCTCAGTGATAGAGCACCCTTGACTTCAATCCCAATACCAAAAAAAAAAAAAAAAAAAAAAAAAAGGAAGACAATGAAAAACGCCTGTAATCCCAGCACATCTGGAGGCTGAGGCAGGAGGATCAGGAGTTCAAAGCCAACCTGAGCAACTTAGCGAGGCTCTAAGCAACTCAGTGAGACCCTGACTCTAAATAAACTACGAAATAGGGCTGGGGATGTGGCCCAGTGGTTGAGTGCCCCTGAGTTCAATCCCTGGTTCCTCCCCCCACCAAAAAAAAGTGTGGAAATATAGGCACCTAATGATACCTGGGTGGGATGACAAGTCACATAGACATTCTCTTTGTAAATTTCTACAAATGACAATGTGGTCTAAGGTATTGCTTTTGAAATTGGGGTGGGGGCAGTCTCTCTGTGTGCCAGTCACATTCTCATTCTGAGGAGCCCAGGGTGGGCTGGAGGACCAGGATAGTGAGCTCCCAGTATCATGGCCATACAGGGGAATTGTGTGAACCTGAAGTGGCTGTTTCACCAAGACAAGCCATTATGCCACGTCTGTCAGTCTGCAAATATGTCAGTGGCCACTGTATACCATAAATGATTTTAATCCACTTTTTTTTTTTTGTGTGTGTGTGTGTGTATGGTACCGGAGTTGAACCCAGGGGCACTCAATCACTGAGCCACATCCCCAGCCATTTTTACTTTTTACTTTGAGAGAGGGTCTCACTAAGTTGCTTAAGGTTTTGCAAAGTTGCTGAGGCTGGCCTCGAATCTACCATCCTCCTGCCTCAGCCTCCTGAGTCACACTTCTGACACCACACATGTCAGAAGGAAGTCAGCTGGGTGTCCTGCAATTCAACTCAATTCTGTCACTACCTTGAGTTAGCATCAGACCCCATAGGTGAAGGGCTCAGTCCACGTGGCTGCCCTAGCTCCAAATGCCAGTCCCAAGCCTAGAATGTCACTGGTACTTCTGACCCCCTCCTGGGTACTGATAATCTGCTCTATTTCTTACAGAACTCAGTCGAGCACTTTACTTACATTTTCCAGTTTATTTTAGAGGATGGAACTCGGGACCAGCCACACGGAAAAGATGTGTGGGCAGAGTATGGAGCACTGCTCAGACCCTCTGTGTCCTCTCTGGGGGTCTCCAGCATGGGAGCTCCCTAACCCTGTGCTTAGGGGATCTTATGGAGGTGAAGGGGTGATAGATTGCACCATTGGCCACTGGTGATTGACAGCTTAGGTGTGATTTGTCCCCTAGACCCTGAATTCATGTAGGAACTTAGTCCCCAGAGTCACGTGTTAATGATGTGAAGAGGGTGGGAACTTGATCCAACCATGGTGTTTAGAAGCAGGGTCTTTGGAAGTGACTAGGGTTAGATGAGGCCATTAGGGTGCAGCCTCCATGGCTGATTCCTAGTGGCTTTGTAAGAGGGACAGAGACCAGACACACAGACACAGGCACGGGTGGTCCCTGTGTCTTGCCGTGTGGTGCTGTGTACCACCTCAGGACCCTGCCAGCAAAAAGCCCATCACCAGACTGAGGCAATGTGAGTGTCATTCCTTTGAATCTCCAAAACTCAAAATAAATAAATAAATAAATTTGGTGTTGGGGGATTGAATCCAGGGCCTTGCACATGTAGGCAAGTGCACTACCACTAAGCTACATCCCATCCTCAGATCTTTTTATTTTTTATTTTGAGACAGGGTCTCACTAAGTTGCCCAGGTTGTACTCAAACTTGAGCTCCATCTGTCTCAGCCTCCATAGTAGCTGGGAATAGAGGAAGTGCCATCACAACCAGCAAATCCTCTTTTCTTTATAAAGTTAAGCTGCTTTGGGTATTTTGTTATAGTAACAAAAAGCTGACTTATACAGGGATTGAACTCAACCTCCAGCCCCTCTGCCTTCCCCAGAGGTCAGACTGGACTCATCCTGAAACTATCTAGGGACTTCAGGCCACTGTCATTAGCACACACCCATCACCAATCTGGAGATTCCAAAGACCAGAGACAAAGAGCCAGATGACATTTCCCATTGTCCCCCTACCAGGCATTCCCGTGAGCTGCCATGTGCTGTCTATCGGTTATCAGTGTAATCAATCCACCTAACCCCCTGTCACACAGCATGGAGTGTCCCCATTGTATACAGCTAGGCTCTGGGAACTGTTTGTTTATTTACTTGTCTCTCTGGTACCTGTTAGATATGAGGACACTCATGGGTCGTATAGTTAATGAGTAAGTAGCACAGGTCTGATTTGGACCTGAATGCAGCTGATAGCAGAGCCCAAATGTGCCCTTCCATGGGGCTGCTGGGAGAAACCAAAGGCTGACCTGTCCCTTTGGCATCCCCTTGCCAATATCACACGTCAAGGAAGCCCACCCGAGATGGAGCTCAAGGGCAGATGAATACTACTTAGGGAGGGGGCAGCTGGCATGTGGACAGTGAAGGGCTGCCAGATTCTTGGGAAAGTCAGCCTGGCCACCCAGCAGAAGGGGGCAAGGGCGACAGACTCAGGGTTCTCAGAGGGAGAAACTGGGGCTCGGACCATACATCACGTGACCTCAGAGACCAAGCAGGGTGTCCTGCCCCTCAGCTTTGGGATTGGCACCAAAGGAAGAGAGAGAGACAGAGACAGAGAGACAGGGATCCAGGAGATGCAGAGCAGGCCCCAGAGGCCATGGCCCGTTTTCTAGATGAGGAAACAGAGGCCCCTGGACAGGAGTGCCCAGCAGTGCAGCCTCGTTCTTTGGACCTGGATGGCACTTCTGTGCTCCTCAGGGTGCCAGGGTGTGGTCTGCCCACAGTTGCCAGGAGTAAAGGAGGTGTCTCGTGGGGGTGGAATGACCGTCAAGTCTGCCCACATCCCAGACCTGGGGGGACGGCGTTCAGACGGCAACGCCCAAGACAATGCCCCTCCCTCCAGGCCCCCTGCCCAGGAGCGTGGGGTACAGGACCTGGACTGCGGTGGCCACCAATGCCATACCATGTGACCTTGGTTCCTCTGTAGGAGGAAGGAAAGGTACAGTGAGCTCTGAGTGTTAATTTTCTCATCTTTACGATGTTCTTTCTGGCTCTGTGATGTCACATGTACTAAATGCAGTTGTTACCAAGATCAAATGAAATCGGGGGCAGTGATTCCTGATCACTGTGGGTTTCCTTCCTCCTTCCCTCCAGCCTCAGCAGCTCTTCTTGCCTCACCAACATCTCCAAGTATGTTTAAAAAAAAAAAAAAAAACAGATGCTGGCCGGGTGCAGTGGCGCACACCTGTAATCCCACTGACTCTGGAGGCTGAGACAAGAGGCTATCAAGTTCAAGGCCAGCCTCAGCAAATTAGCAAGTCCTCCACAATTTAGGTAGACCCTGTCTCAAATAAAAATAAAAAGAGCTGGGGATGTTGCTCGGTGGTAAAACACCCCTGGGTTCAGTCCCCAGTACCAAAATAAATACATAAATAAGTGAAAATAAAAATAAAGTACTATAGAACATAGAAGATGAGGAGGCCACTTCCACCAGGGCACTCACAGATTTCTCAAGCTGGTCAGACAGGTGACAGCTTTTCCTCCACCCAGAACCCCCGGCCTCCCCTTGCTGGATAGCTGATCCTACACTGGTCCTATGCCTGGGCTGATGGGAAAGGGGACCCTCGGGGGGCAGCTCTCTCACCCAGAGCCACACGGCTGTTGGGGCTAAGTAAGGGACCAGAGCTGGTATGACCCGCAAAGCCATGCAGGAGGAGGCCCGGGGACTCCCAGGGCAGGGCAGACATGACTGTCTCCCAGTCTGCGTATCTTGGAGTCAGTCAAGGAGGTGTGTCCCCTATTTATCAGGGCCAGGACCTGTCCTGGGAATATTTTGTTCCTTCCTGCCCCGATGGGGTTCCCTTCTTCAAGGGGGGCTTAGCCAACCTCCAAGAGGAAAAAGAGGCGGGAGCTACCTTGCCTGAGTCTCAGGTGCATGAAGGATGGGAGGGAGGTTGATGTGTGGGTGCAGACCATGCGGACGGATGCTCACGAGCTGACCTCAGAGACCAAGGGGCAGCCAACACAGCCCCCTATGCAGAGCATGCACTTGCCCACAGCTACTGCACCCTGAAGTTACTGCTGAGCAGAGTGAGCCCCAGAAAGAGGACAGGCTGGCCAAGGTCACCTGGGGAGTAAGTCAGAGGCAGCGGTGGGAGCAGACAGAGGTTTGGAATCAGGCGGCCTGGGTTTGAATCCCAGCTCTGCCACTTCTAGGCTGTGTGATCTTGAGCCAGTGCTCTGACCTCTCTAGACCTCTGCTTCCTCGCCCATAGAGGGAAGATAATATCTTCCCTCTCAAATTATCATGAAGAAGGACACAGAACATGTGTTTTTCTGCACAGAGCATGAAAAACTTCAGATCCGCCCTCCCCCAGTTGGAAGAGATGTCCTGAGCCCGAGGCAGCCCCCCGGGATGCTTTGCGCAGGAGCCCAAACCCCTTCTTTGGCCCTGACCAGGGTCACTCCCTGAGCCATGTTGGGAAGGCCCCTCCCAGCCTCCGACATCCCCAAGCCTGCCTTGAACCAACACAGCACCAGCACCAAACCCTGGGCAGCCCCAGGGGAACCCCGGGAGGGGTCTGTCCCAAGGGAGTGGAATGGCTGGGCAGGGGTGGTCCACAGGAGCTTCGAGGGCACGGCCCCTCCTGTTCTGCTCTGCAGTTTGCTAGATAGTGACACCTGCCCTCCACCTCATTCTCCTGTGCACACCATCCCACCAGAGCTGTCTGAGGATTTCAGTCACAGGATTCCAAGACCACAGACAGGTACCTGACCCTGGTTCTCAGCTACTCTCCACAAAAGTCCCAAAATAGGCCCTGACCTGGGCTCTAAGCTGAGTCTTGGCCTAGGGTAGACTGTATTCTCAGGGAGGTTTAGGGGAACACCAGAGGGTCATTTTGTCAAGAGGAGGAAATTCTGGTGGCCACAGCTCAGATTTCCGGAGCAGGAACCTCCCTCCACTTCTGGAAGCTTCCCTGACCTGAGGTTGAGGATCTGGGCCTTCTTGGGATGGGCTTGAAGTTCCTGGACCCCCCACTTGAGCTTCCCTGTGGACCTAGGAGCCTGGGCTGGAGATGGGAGAGGCCAGCTGCTGAGAATAGGCAAAGTCCTTGGGCAAGATGGCAGCCTGGGTGAGATCCCCAGGCTTAGCTGTGATATCACCCAGAAGGACTAGAGGGACCCTTCTGGAGTGGGCTTCCCTGTCTTCCACAGAACCCTGGTGTCCCCATCTGCACATGAGTGGCCCAGGGGCAAGCCTTGCACGTCACAGAGAAAGAGGCAGGCCCAGAGAAGGCCAGCAAAGTGCTTCCCCATGTGACCTTGGGGTCACATAGCCTGGCACAGACAAGAACCCAGCGCTTCCATACCAGCCCAGCCTGACCACATCTGCCCCCTCCCCACCAGGTGGCCTCAGGAGGCACAAGGGTTGTTGAGAGCCGGAAGGAAGCCCTGGCCTTTCCAAGACTGACCATTCAGCCCTCCTACCTATCTGCAGACCTTGGTGGCCAGGAACCCACATGCCCCATCCTGACATCTGGCCCTTCCTTTTGCCTCCCTGGGCCCACAGTCAGCTCCAAGAACAGCACCCCCAGGTCACTATCCAACTTTAGTCCAGCCCCTGGGACCCAGGAGAGCCCCTGACCCTCTCTCTCTGCTCCTGGAAGGACCAACGTGAACTCCGGATTCTTGATCCAGCGTCCTCCCGGGAGTAGGAGCTGGCCTCCTTCTCCGTGGGCGCCGAGCGGAGGGAGGGGGACACACGGCGGTGCACCCGCCCGCCGAGCCACCCAAGTGCCCTGCACAGTGGCAGGTGCGGAACAGGATCCGACTCCGCTGGGGAGACGCTGGCACTCACCTGATCGCCGCCGCGCGCTCCCTGGACTCCGGGATCTGCAGGTGGCACCGGCCCGGACCCCCCTCCCCGGGTCTCGGCGGGCGCGAGGGATGCTGCGGCGGCCGCTCCAGCGCCTTCCCCGCGCGGGCGGCAGAGGGCTCCGTGCGCTGCGCCGCCGACCCGGCTTTTACCCGCGGGTGTGGACGGGGCACTGCCGGTCCCCGCCCTCCCCGCTCCGGCGTGTCCTTTGCCCCTTGATCCGGTGCCTCCTTCTCTCCTTAGCACGTGGGTGGCAGCCGCTCCGCCGGCTGCAAGCCTGTGGGGCAGCCCTGGCCCAGGCCGTGGGCTCCGGCGCCTGCCAATCCCCGTCTGCCGCTGGCTCGTGCCCGCTCACCTTTAACCCTCCTCCCCGGGGGCTTGGTGCCTGGCCCCCAAAGCGAGCAGGGAGGAGCCCCCGGTGCCCAGTGGGCAGAGGAAGGGCCTGGGATGGGCCTCTGCCAGCTCCAGGAACCGCAGCCCCTTTGGGACGCCATCCCGATTACTGAACTCCCCTTTCTGAACCCTCTTCCTCCACATTAAGGTCCCTGGAAGCCCTCTGTTCTGCCCAAGAGGCCGTCTCTCTGGGACCCCTCTTTCTGACATCTTTCTTTTCCCAGAGTCCCCTGCCTCCAAACCCGTTCCCTGCAGACTTCCCCATGAGCCTCTGCCCCTGCGCCCACCCTTCTCCTCAGGACACCCCCACATACACTCAGTTCCTCCTGCCTCCAGTAGCCCTGGGATCCTCCTGCTCCTGAGGCTCTGTCCTCCTGACCTACATTCATTCTACAAACACCTTGGCACACCCTTAGCATAGTAGTCAAAGTCGAGGACAGGGACAGGGACAGGGCAGGTCCACAGTGGCCGAGTACTGCATTCAAAGCCCAGCCATGAGGCATCCGAGTCCTCAGAGTCAACTCCGCTTGGGAGGGGATTCAGGGCCTTAGCTCACCTGCCAGCTCTTGGGGGCAGGAGTAGGGCAGGCAGCAGTGGGCAGTCAGGGTGGACAGAGGAGGAGACTGATCCTGTGCAATGATGGGGCAGGTCCTCTCAACCCTGGAGCATCCTTCCTGCTCTCTACTGATGGAGACAGCAGAGGTGGAGAGAGTCCTGCTAAGGACAATGCAGAGTTTCCTGCTGGTGACAGGAGGTGCCGGGCAGGGGGCTGTGGCGGGTAATACTGGAGGATTGGGCTGGGCCTAGAAGAGGCCCTGAGTTGTGCAGGATCCTGCTCACACCCTACATTCATGCTGCCCCCTGCTTCTTCTACCTCTTTTCTGTCATCTGTCCATGACAGCCACCTCACATGATTTACTATGGGTCTCAGTTCTGCTGCCTTGCCCAGACACCTGTCCACATCAGGGCCAGGACCCAGAGAAGGAGACCAGTGATGATGCATGTTTGTGCGTGTAAAGGGGCTTGAGCCAGGGCACAAGCAGCCCTGGGGTACAGCCCTGCCCCTGCCTTTGACTGGCTCTGTAACTGGGTGAGGTCCTAATGGCATCTCCTAGGACCTCAGCCTCCCCATACACATAAGTGGCAGATTTAGCAAACAAAAGCCCAAGATGCCCAGTTAAATTTCAATTTTCAGATAAGTATTTTGTATCAGGATGTCTCCTGAAATATTTGAGGTTTGTTTGTTTATACCGGGGATTGAACTCAGGGGTGCTTAACCACTAAGCCACACCCCCAGCCTGTTTTTGTATTTTATTTAGAGACAGAGTCTTGCTGAGTTGCTCAGGGCCTTGCTAAGTTGCTGAGGCTGGCTTTGAATTCACGATCCTCCTACCTCAGCCTCCCGAGCTGCTGGGATTACAGGTGTGCACCACTGTGCCGAGCTGGGGTATATTTATATTAAAAGATTATTCATAATGCATATCTAACACCCAAACTTAGAACTGGGGATGTAGCTCAGTAGGAAAGTGCTTACCTAGCATGCATGAGGCCCTGGGTTCAATCCCCAGTACTGCAAAAACAAACAAACAAACTCTCAGATGTAACTGGACATCTTGAATTGACAATACCCCAGTGAAATAGAGGAGGCGGGAGGTTTAGACAGGATGTTCTCCCTCAGGACCCCTCTAAGCTCCAGCTACCTCCTGGGACACCCTCAGGTGGACCTGGAAATGGTTCAGAAAGCTGTGCCTTCTTTGCAGAGGAAGGGGCAGGCAAGGTGAAGAGTGGGTAGCTGTCATCATAGGGCCACACACACAGAGAGGAGGCAGAGAAGTGTCTAGAAGCAACCCAATCCTGGCCTGCTTCCGGAGGAGGAAGGTTTTCATGGTGACTTGGATGCTGGGGAAGAAGGGAGGGGAGGTTAGATGGCTTCTGGTGATCACTTAATGGAAGCTGGGGAGGTGGAGGGTCTCCTCCTGTTGGGAAGAGTCCTGAAGATCAACAAAAAGGATCAGAAAAGATTCTCCAGAGTCCTGCCAGCCTGTCTCTTTGACTGCGCTGCTGAGAGACATTTGCTAAGGACTCACCACCTGCCAGGGCCCTTCCCCATCTTCCAAACCCTTCAGATGAGTTCATTCATCAACTCATTTTGTTCTGGTATCCCAGATGTGGAACCCACAAAAACTTAAAATGAGCAACAAATATACAAATATGTACTTAGGGTAACTTGGAAATAATTGTTATGTTGTTAGGGGTCTGATTTCCCCCTTTGGTACCAGGGATTGAACCCAGGGGTGTTCTACCACTGAGCCATATCCCCAGCCCTTTGTATTTTCTTTTATTTTGAGACAGGCTCTTGCCAAGTTGCTGAGGCTGCCCTCAAACTTAGCAATACTCCTAACTCAGCCTCCCGAATTGCTGGGATTACGGGGGTGACCTGGTGTAGAAAGGTCTGTTTTGTTTTGTTTTTGTTTTTGTGGAAAAGCAATAGGTAAATGACAGGAGCATTTAAAACCATTTTAAAATTCATTGTAAAGATGGCACAAACTCTACTGCAAAAGTTACTTCCATTACATGTTCAACTGGATAAAATATTAAGCATGTAACCAATATGTAATATAAGAAATACATTCATGAAAGCATTTCCTAGAACTGTTTTCATTTTATTTTGAGGAATTCTCTGTATTTCCAATATCAGATACTATATTGTCCCAGTGTCCTATTTATAGGACAATCTGTATCTTCCTTCTTATTGATAATAAAGGATATCTGAACTCGGTCTGGATTGTGATCTCCAACCTATTTTAAGGCACTTGTGTCAATTTCATTGAAATATTTGCAGAATTGAAAACTTGGGACTTCACCAGTTAATCCCTCCAACAGCTGGAAGAGATGTGTTTTCTCCCCAGTTTACAGATGAGGAAACTGAGGCATAGAGAGGTTAGGCAACTCGCTTAAATTCTTACAGGTCTGGATGTCCTGGCTCCATTCCGGCCATGATCTTGTGCTGTCCCTGCACCAAGGGGACCTCTCATGGCACAGGGGGACAGGTGAGTCTTAAGTGATGCTGGAATAGTTGGGGCGAGGATCAGGGCTCCCGTGGAATGAGCCAGGAAGGGAGGACCATTCTCCCTGGGCGGGAGGGGAGGTGCACGCTAGCCTGGCCAGGGTGGATGGGTCCTTGGGAAGCTTTCAGCTTTAGGAGAAGACCTTGAGAAAAAGGGCATTAGGTGGAGGATGTTCTGAGCAAAGATGGAAGAGGGGAGAAAATGCAGCGTAGGACCTGGACAGGTCAGGAGTCTGGCTTGGCTTTCCAAGTTTGAGAAAGGGCTGGGGAGAGAACTACGGAGGGACACAGGACCCTCCTGATTGGCTGGGTCAGTAAAGAGGGATGCACTGCAGGGAAATGCCCAGGGATCCTCAGGGGGGTGGGCGCCTCAGCCCTGGGGTGCCTGGGGCTACCTAAGCTGGGCCAGCAGCATGACAACCACTGGGTGGACCACACAGAGGACCCCTGGAACTTAAGACACGTATTTTGCCATACTTCTAGCATCGGTTTCTACAAAGGTCTAGAATCTCTATTAACTCTGAATCTTGAGCATAATATCAAGGACAAGTCCACTGAATTGCATGAAGAGGATTTAGGGACCGAAGAGGAACGCAGATCCCTACCTCACACCGTATCCAAAAATCAACTTGAAATGGACACGCGACCAAAGTGTAAGAGCTAAAGATATAAAACTCTTCAAAGCAACCATGAGTCTTTGTGACCCTAGTTAGGAAGTGGTTTCGGGGAAGGCCGGGAGTGTGGAGGCTTCAGGGAAGGCTTTCTTGGTTTGAGCTGGAGCACCTGGAAGGAAGCTGACCTCCTAAACCAAACAAAGGGGGGAGAGGGAGACTCTGGGCATAGGTAAGGTCATCCCGAGCCTCTGACAAGGCAAATGGCGAAACCCCCTGGAAGCTGAGTGTGCTGGCTGTGGGCTCATTCTGCCTGTATCATGCCTCCTGAGCGCCTAGCTTCGCGCTGGGAGAATATGATCATCATGTGGTGAAAAAAAATGCTCCTTCAACAAAAGGATGTCCTTCATTTTTTTACAGGTATAAAACCAAAACAGATACAAAAACTGGGATCGACCTAGATGGCCAATGATGCACCAATGAATTGATAAAGAAAATGCATATGTACCTAGAGGAATCTTGCTCAGTCACGAAGAAGAATGGAATTTGGTCATTTGTGGCAACACAGTCTAACCTGGAGGATGTGAGGTTAAGTGAAATGCCAGACACAGAAAGACAGATATGGCATGTGCTCCCTATATGTGAAAGCTCAAAGTTGGTCTTAGAGAAACAGAGAGTAGGATGATGGTTATTATCTGGGCATGGTGGCACACACCCGTAATCTAGCAAATTGGGAGGCTGAGACAGGAGGATGGCAGGTTGGAGGCCAGCCTCAGCAACTTTGTGAGACCCTGTCTCAAAATAAAAAATAAAAAGGGCTGGGGATGTGGACAGTGGTAGAGTGAACCCCCAGTGCTAGAATGGAAAAAAAAAGAAGAGGTATAACAACTTCTAGGGTTCTTTTGTAATTAGAATGACTGTGGTGGACAACTGTTACTTGTATATTTCAAAATAGCTAAAAGAGAGGATTTTGAATGTTCTGAACACAAAGAAATAGTAAATGTTTGAGGTGATGGATTCGCCAATTACCCTGATCTGCTCATTATACATTGTACACAAGTATTGAAAATATCACACTGTACTCCAAAAATATGTACAATTTTGTGTCATTTAAAATTTAAAATGTTTTTAAACAACCACAAATAGGCAGTGTATTGTTAGTGTACGTATAATAAGGAAAAGGACCTATACCTCTGTTAGAATGGCTAAAATTAAAAAAAAAAAAAGTTGAATAGTTGGGCATGGTGGTACATGCCTGTAATCCCAGCTTCACTGGAGGCTGAGGCAGGAGGATAGCAAGTTCAAGGGCA